CTAAATGCCTTACTGGAGCTTATACCCGATTGTGCCCCTTTCCGCTTTCTTCAACCTGTTGCCTTAGTGTGACTATGCTGCCCAGGTCTGTCAACCCCTGTACCCAGACTTCCACCTGTTCCCTTAGGGTGACTATGCTACCCAGGTCTGCCAACCCTTGTACGCAGACTTCCACCTTCTGCGCTAAATTCATGGCGACACAACCCAGATCGATCTGGCCATGGAGACTTAACCTCGCATTTTCTCCATCTTCTTTGTCTTCTTCTTCCTCCTCAACCTCTGTTTCATCTTCTCTTTCTGCAATCGGTGCATCTCCTTCTTTGATGTTGATCTCTTCATCTTCTTCTTCGTAGAACTCGTCTTCGTTTCCTCCTTCCTCTTCCTCTGTTTTTTTGGATCTGTCCTCTTTGTCACCGTCGACTTCTTTTTCTGAGTTTCGATCGACTCCTTCTTCTGTAATTTTTTCTTCTTCTTTGCTCATTTATTCTTCTTCATTTTCTCTATGTTTTCTTCCTTTTCTACAACATCAACATCTTTTGTTTTTGGATCTGTTTCGTCTTTTACGTCTCCTATTTTTGCACCATCTACCAATAAAATTTTAGGTAAATATTTTCTCTATGAATGCCATCTACCAATAAAATTAGTCATCCCCAAGCCTCGTTATCTCCTCCGTCTCCATAGAATTTTGGAACCATTGTAAATCTGTATTTCATTTTATTTTTTAAATTTGGACCAGAAAGCACCTCCGGATGGAAGATGCTCTGATACCAAATTGATGGAACCTACTTTTATAAATCTGAAATTGCAAAAAATATAAATGCAGCCAAGCTCTTTACAAGATAAAATGCAAAAAATAAATCCAAAGATCCCCAATTTCCCCATAAGCCAATACTGAATTCATGCCTAAAGAAAGCACACCCCAAGTATTTATATATAACTAATTCCTGACAAATAGGCTTGGATATTTTATTAAAGGCCCATCAATACCAAATTGATGGAACCCATAATATTTAATAGTAAAATATTTGCATTTCTTCTGTAATACGTTTGAAATACACATCTGTGACAATATCAACAGTAATGACAGAGAAACAGAGTATTAATAGACTTTCATACTCCTAATACAGACTCCAACTACTGAACGATAATAACAATGAAATAACAATGCAGAAAAGATAAACCAAAGGTCTCAACTCACCCTTAAAGCCAAAGACCTAGGGCTCAAGAGATCCTTTTCCTAATTCCTAATTCCTAATTCCCATTTCAGTGAATACATGCATACCCACACTACCACACTACCTACCTTTTATCCTATACTTTAAGAATATTTTAGAATAGTTTCCATAACAAACTAACTAATTCTCTAACTTTCAGGTCCATGGCCCATCTTACTTTCAGGTCCGTGGCCCATCAATACTCCCCCTCCAAAATTCACTTTGTCCTCAAGGTGAAGAAAAAGGATAGGTGATGTGAAAAAATATCCACCCAAATCCCATTGTTTAAAGCTTCTTAACCCCGTTATCACCCCTTTTCTACTGAGGTAAGCCAGCTTCTTTGCAGTAGCATATTTCTGCTCCTCCAATTTCATTCCATTGGGTCTGGATGTGTTGATTCAGCTCTCTTTGGGCTGTATTATTGGGCCCAACTCGCCCTATTTGATTAGTGAGAGATAAACCATTTTTGGTCTCTCTATTACCCACAAGCCCATTTAGACATTGAGGGGTTTTTGAATCGGGCAATGTATTTATATGTGTTGAGACCGTATTAGAAAGGGATGAGCTTTTTACTGCAACCCATTACCTAAACCAGCTCCATTCTGCTTACCCATTAATTTGGTGTACGTTGAAATGGGAATCCAAGAATTGAACCCATTCTTTTCATTAGCCTGAATTTAGGTTGCCTCCGAATCGGGCTCCATTTGATTAGTGCCCCACCCATTTTGTAACTCACTGTTGGAAGCATTGGGCCTAGTCCATGTGTTGTCTTGATGGGCCAAAACTGGACATGAATGGTGCCCCTCCCCACCTCCAACCTTCTCTCTTTCTTCTATGCTTTGCTTCATGTGCGCTCTTTGTAGTTGCTGCTTCCCATGGCCGAATTGCAACGACCCCTTCTTTTTTTGTGGAGACCCTAATTTGATAGCTCAAGGACCTAATTTTCTTCGCTACCTTTTTCGTCTCCATCAATTTCCTCTATCTTTGGGTCAGAATTTGAATTGCAGCCTTCTTCCTTTAGCTATTCTTTTTCTTCAACCATTCTTTCTTTTGTGTTCGCTTCTTCTTCTTTTTTGTCTTCTGCTTTGCTGATTAGCTTTTCTTCGTTTCTTTCTTCTTTATGCTCAACCTCTTTTTTGTTTTCTCTTGTTTCGATTTCGCCCGTTTTTTTTTCTGCAGCACTTTCATCGTCTTTTCTTTCTTCTACAATTGCTGCATTTTCTTTCTTCTTTTTTCCTTTTTCTTCCTCAATTTTATTTTCCGTTTCTTCGGTTCTTCGTGTTCCAGATCCTTTAGCATCTTCGATTTTTGCCTTTTCTTCTTTTTTGATTTTGTCTTTTTTGCACCTGTAGCTGCTGCATTTTCGTTTCGTTCTTCTTCGCCTTCTTCTCCTTTATTTTCTTCCTTTTTTTTAATTTCTGTTGTTCCTTTTTCATATGCCTTTACTTCTGCACCTTATTTTGTATTTCATCTTTTTTTCTTTCTTCTTCTTTATTTTGATCCGCATTTGAAGTCTCCGATTTTGCACCATCTAACCACGTAAATTTCAAGTAAATATTTCTCTATGATCGCCTTCTCAAAGTTCCTCCGGATTACGGTAAGATTGAACCATTTTCTCCCTTGATACTAGTTGAACGCACTCCCTCTGAGCCCTCTCATAGCTTCCATGTACTTCTGATCTTCATTGATTCCTTCTATCTGAAAAAATTGTTCCAAATCGATTAGCCATCCTTAAACTTCTTTATCTCCTCCGTCTCCATAGAATTTTGGAACCATTGTAAATCTGTATTTCTTTTTTTTGTCTTTTTTTTTGGATCTGGATCAGAAACACCCCTAGATCGGAAGTGCTCTAATACCAAATTATTGAAACCCAGAATATTTAATAACAAACAATGACAGAGAAACAAAGTATTAATAGACTTTTATACTCCTAATACAGACTCTAACTAATGGATGATAATAACAATAAAATAGCAATGCAGGAAAGATAAACCAAAGGTCTCAACTCAGTCTCAAAGCCAAAGACTTATGTCTTAAGAAATCCCTAGAGATCCTTTTCCTAATTCCCAATTCCCATTTTAGTGAATACATGCATACCCACACTATCACACTGCCTACCTTTTATCCTATACTTTAAGAATATTCTAGAATAGTTTCCATAACAAACTAACTAATTCCCTAACTTTTAGATCTATGACCCATCAAATAATATTCAAAAAAAGGTAAAACATATATGAAAAAAATATAAGTATAATATCTTAATCAAAATAAATATGTAAAAACTAATTTCTATGCACTTTCTTACATATTTATAAGATATTAATATAGTTATGTACAAACAATTATTTCCAACCATTTCATAAGTTTTTGAAGATAAGAGCTCTCACTAATCTTAATTTGAATATGAATTGATTTATCTGTCAAGAGTTTAAATCCTATTCAAATTTTCAAAACTCAAACTTTTTTAATAAAGGGAAAAGTTCACCAATGTCCCTGTGGTTTGTTTCAGAATCACCTATGTCCTTGTGATTTTTTTCTATCGCATGTGCCCTGTGATTTGCAAAAGGGTATGTTTTTTTATCACATATGCCCATGTGGTTTTTTATTTTTTACAAAGCACAGGGGTATATGTGATACAAAAAAAAATCACATGAACATAGGTGATTCTGAAGCAAACCACAGGAGCATTGGTGAACTTTTCCCTTTAATAAATAAAGCATCAAACCTCGTATGTATGTGAAGCCTATTCTTCTTCATTATTTTATTTTCATGCACACATACCACCGTTGGCTTTAAACTTTCTATTTGTGTATAGTGATCTACCATCTATCACAGATGTCTCTCTCTTATAAACTCCTCTAGAGTACACTTATGTTGCACCGACATCGACACGGGATACGACACGACACTCCGATACGTTAATTCTAAAAAATGTTAAATTTTGACACGTTAAGACACATTTTGATATTATATAATATTTTTAATTTATGTAGTGTATATTATATTTAATATTCAATAATTTAACAAAAAACAAAGTTAAATTTATAATACCCATCAATTTTGCAAAGAAACATAAGATATTTCGAATATTTATATTAAACTCAATAAAATAGTAATTGTAATCCATTGAATCTAATATTTGGAACTCAAAATATAACGCAACCTAACCTTTTCAGTGAGTATCGGAAAGTATCAGAGAGTATCGAAATGTATCAGAGAGTATCGAAATGTATCAGAAAATATCAAAAAATATCGGACACGACACGTCAAGAATTTTGAAGTGTCAGTGCTTCGTAAGTGTACACATCCTACATCAACCTTGATCGAATATAATTATTTTTAAATAAATACAAAATGGTAATTTGTACAATTTTTTTATTTTACTTTGCTGTGCTTTATGTTTTGGCAAGTCAATAGCGATGTTTCTCACTCAATTTGCTTCTTTGTGTCAAGTGTGAAATAAAATGGTAAATGGTTTTGAAGGCATCGAACGTGGCTTTGAACTTTGCAGCACAAAAGTCATAAAATGGGATCTCCATTTGAGGCCACAGATGCTAGATGCTGAAATCTCCAATAAGCAAAAATAAAATCTTAAAATGGGACCAGATTTTGACAACGTGGACCAATAAGGTTTGAGTTTTAGATGGAGAACTTAAGGCCACAAATCTCGGCACCAAAACATTCACAGCCACAAACTCATTAACAAGTCTCTTTCTTTTGCCTTTTTGTTTTCTTACAACTGTCTTTTGCTTCTTATCTCATTTATGGGACTGCACCTTCCTATATATTTTACTCTCTCTTAGGTATATTTTCATTAAAATATGTACACTTGACTACTACCCAAAACAACACACTGCTCTGTATTTCAGCTGCCACAACTGAAAAATACTGTGAACCAAACTAACCTCTTGTCAAGTTGTGTTCATAGTTGACACTATTCTCCTTCTGGGTTGATTTCAATTCATCAATCAGAACCTGGGTTCTCTCTATCTTTCTCTATCTTTTCTTCTGATAAACCTCTGAAAGGTATGTTCCTTTCAACCCATTTAATTATTATATTTGGAGTATTGTTTCTGTGTAAGGATGATTTTATGGAAAGCCTCAAGTTTTGAAGAAGCTCTTGTTTTTTATTGAGGATGGGAAAGATATAAGGTGTTTAGTATGTTCATCAAGTTAGTTCTTATTTTTCTGGGTTTTTTTTCTCTCCTTTCTTAGCTTTTAGTACTTGGTTTTGAAAATTGTCAGGCTTAAATGAAGTGGATTTTGATTCTTTAATACGGGTAGGAAAATGGATGGAATAAAGCTTCCATTAATCTTTGAAGAGAAAATGATGTAGAAACTACTGATCTGCATAGATGGGGTTTGCTAAGTTATGTATGGGAGAACTTCTGATTTGTTTGTTGTTTTCACTATCTGTGCCCAAAGATTTTTTCAAAACACTCAAGTTAGTGTTTTTTTGCCCAAGTTTGACTTGAAAACTTAGTCTATAGTTCTTGTTATTTTTTAATTTTTTTTGGGTAGACCTTGAGTTTTATTCTACTAAGTTTGTTCTAATGGGGTTATCTTAGAAACCATGTCCAATGAAGTTCGCAACTTGAGGATCTAGGCATTAAATGGGTTTCGGGGGGAGTAACAATGGCATGTTTGAATGAATGTACATAGCATATAGAAGCAACATAGAACAAATTGAAGTTCTCCTTTGGTGCTAAGCAAATAGCTTGTGTTTATGAGTCAACAAAATCTGCATATTTCCAATAGTAAAGGCAATTTATATGTGCTAATCTTCAAATGTCTTGAACACTCTACAGGTTATTTGTCATGGATTTGTACTATGGTTGTGGCGCTAATGATTTTCTTATACCGAAAGATCAAGATTTATTGGATAGGGATCCTTCACCAGAAAGTTGGTCAAAATGGGAAATGAATGCTTCTGATGGCTATAATTCACCCACAAAGTTTTTTATTATGGATTCAAGTGCAACAGAGGTAGGATTCAATTTCATTGATGAAAGTTTCAATAATGAAATTGAGTTTGAACCTTCTGAGTATGATAAAGATCAGTCTAGCAGCTCAAGTGTATCTGGAGCTGAGCAATCTTTTCAACAAACAACATTTTCATGTGATCAAACTAACTACCAGCCTCAAGACCTATCAAGTTTCGAACAGATGGATGACATTTTCTTGTACAAGCCTAACCTCTGGGTCTAAGATACTTGGTTTTATGCCTATAGGATAATCATGTAGCTTCTGAAATGCTTTAACCTGGCATTAGTATGCTCTGTGCATTGTAAGAAGTCAGTGCAAATTGAATAGCTCTGTGGTGTTTTTGCATTCCAAATTTCGCCATATTTATCTTTATGATTGGAGCCAATACAGACTAAGACAATCATACTTATGGTTCTCAGAACTCTATAAGCATGAACCTGTTATAGCATGGTAAGGGCTCCCATTTTTCTTTAATAATTATAGTATGAAAAGGTCTTATTTTTTAATCTTGCATTACATATGTGACGCGACAGAGGCATTCAGTGTTCACTGGCTTACCATAGGCATGAGGTTAATCCAGTTCAAATGACTATTTTCTCATCTTACAGCCTTCACATGTTTTACATAATGCAGGGATTCTGTACTTGAAGATTTTCCCTCTGTTGAAGACCTACACAAATCCTTCTACTATTATCCTGAAAACCATGGCAGCGATTCACCTGGTGATCACTCTTTGAAAACATTTTTTTGTTAACAAGATATTCAAAACTTTCTCTGATATTGGTGTATAAATTAGCTCTAAACACATGGTTTCTTTCCATCAGGTGGATTCCAGAAAGATATTTCAGCTTCAAAGTTTGTTCCATGCCACTCAAACTCTGAGGATTGCATGGATATAGAGGTAATAATTGCGTTTTGTCTTGTAGTTAAATGGTGTTTAATCTATGACTTGCCACACACACAGAAATTCTGGCGTGCCTTGAGCAGTTGTTAGCAGTTTCTATGTTATATATATCCCATTCACGTGTGTGTGTTGAAGTCAATCATAAATTTGTAGTTGATAGTTTGCTTACCAAATATAAGCTACCATATAGTAAGCAAAGCATTGGTAATCAGATCGAAATTCCCTTGTCTATGTGTGATGCAAGTCTTTCTTATGCAGTAGTTTAGGTTACCCCATGCCACCTACTGGAGTACTTATTGAAACTAACATTTTAGGGAGAAATAGAGTGAATCATGGCCTGCGGGCGAGCCTGGAGCAGTGACAAAGCTGCTCCTTTGTGACTGAAAGGTCAAAAGTTCGAATCTGGGAAACAGTTTTTTTGAAAATATGTAAGGGTAAGACTTCGTACAATGCCCTAACCCCTATTCTTCCTAGTTGCGGTTTAATAGGGAGTGGAGTGATTTTTTAATGGAACTAGCTTCCATCAAAATTTCAATTGCAAAGTATGTTTGTGGTTCTGCTTTCAAGGCTTAAATCGTATTGCAATTTATTCAATTTCTCTTTATGATACAGACAGTCAAAGTCTTGGACTCTTTTGAGCAGTACAGTGGAGATGAGGCTATGCATGACCAATCATTTCTCGAGGAATCTACACTGCAGGATCTTGAGATGGTAATTGCACAGGTGAGATGACTGAGAATTGAAACCCTTTGCATTTGATTAAATGCAATAATACTTGTTGCTAATTCTTTTTTTTTTTCCCTTGTCTCACATGATTAGTTCACTGAGAAGACTCGCATTTGTTTCCGTGACGCCCTGTACCGCCTTGCCAGAAATACAAAACAACAGCATGATGTAGTAGAGGATCTGGATGGAGATCTTAACATGCAACAGTCAATGCCACAGGCAGTTCACAATGAAACCCTGAGGTACATGATTTTGATTTGTTGCATGTCTGTTTATGTTCTTTTGGCTTTCAGATTATATTCTAGTTATAAAAGTAGTATCAATGATAGTTCTGTTCTCTAGTTTATATGTTCCATGTTGTGAATGATCAACACCCTTAATTGAAACTCTTTAACTTTGTGTTTAGATCTGAGGACAACAAACCAATGGAATCAGAGACCAACAGTGTTGACAGAGCTGTTGCAAATCTCATGTTCAACAAGATGGAGAGTAACATACTAGATCTTCCTCTTACAACCCCAGTAAACTTCAACCAAGAAGTAATAGGAAGCAAAGGTCATCAAGGAAAAAGCTCAAAAGCCTTGAATGTGACACAAAAAAGTCATTATCCTAATCCCCAAGAGTTACCAGGAGTTGCACTAAGTGACCAACAAAGAGCCACAGAATCAGATATTGCATATGCAGATCCTATTAAGAAGCCTTTCAACCTAGAGCTTGGTTAAGTAATGTGGTTGTTAGCTTCCTAGTAGCTAAACTAGAAATAAGAAAAACCAATTTCATGTAATTATTCAGCCCTTTATGATAAAAGAGGCCTGGAATGTATCCATCCAGCTCAGTTTTGATTGGAATGTAAATGATTGAATTGATCTACTAGCAATTAGCAAAGCTGGGGTTAGGATTCTTAGGTATTTTAACACCTTGATGTTTTGTTTGGAGTGTAAAAATGAGCGAGTTTATCAAGTAGCTATTATCAAAGCTAGGGTCAGGATTCTTAGGTGTTTAACACCTTAATATTTTGTATGTTAACTACTATACACTAAATGCTATAGTTCCAGCTTGTATTTCTGATTATGTTAGGAGTATGCTGGTATTTTTTTTTCTGGATTTATCCATCGATTCATCAATTACTCGACTAATACGGTTCGATAGTGTATAAGGTGCGGCCCTCTCAATATTATTTTCTCTATTTCCAGGCTCGAACTCAAGACCATTAAGTTGATATTTTTGTGTGAGGAAATTGTGCATGATAAGTGATTATAAATGCTTTTTCAGTAAAATAAAAAGCTTTCAGTTCAAAATCACGCATTAGTATATTTGCTGATCTCAAAATAGATTTGCATTTAGGAAACTAGATACTTGCCTTAGCACAATCATTTGTGATAAATAATAAGGGAAAAACACTTCTCCTTGTACGGGAGAAGTGTATTCTTATGAGAGTGAGATATCAAATTTTAAGCCATGACCTTTTTTTTATTGTTTTTAAAAATATGAGTCTCACTTGATTTTCTATCTGTAGAAAGCTGGCTTCTCATCCCATGAGATAAGAAGTTGATTGCCAAATAATAATAATAATAATAATGAAACAATGGTTTTTGGTAAACTTCCAAAAGTTGACTTTTATATATGTTATGAAACTTTGAGTTCTGACTTCTGAGCTCCTAATTGACCACCAAAGTGTACCTTATGATACCTTGGAAGATCAAAAGAAAGTAAAAATACCTCCAAACTTTTAATTTACTTTATTGGATATTTAGTTCATTTTTAGTTGTTAACGAAAACTCAATATTAATAATTAATTTATTTAATTTAGAGTTAAAGCTTTTTTTTTTGAATTTCTTCAATCTTTTTATCCTTTGGACTAGTTCGGTTCAAGCACTGTCGGATCTTATAAAGGGGTTGTTCTCCAAAAATCATTTTTTCTATTTTCAGGAATCAAACACGAGACATCTGATCGAGGAACATAAGCTCTTTACCGCTTGTGTTAAGGATATTTGGTAGAGTTAAAACTTTTGATGTCTCATTTTAGAGAAAAATGTTTCTGCAGTTACTACAGATAAGTTATCTCCTCTTTATAGTTAGAGATGTCATTTTCTGAACCTAAAGCCCTGTATCACGATTATTATATTTTTGTTTGATCTTTTATTGAATAATAATGTGATTTATTATTTTTTATATTAAAATATTTGAAATTTTTATCATTTTTTTAGATATTTGAGTATGTTTATAATTTTTTAATATAAATTATAAAATTGCATATAATTACCGGGTCATGCGGTTGAACCAGTGATCCACTGATTGAATCAGTGACCCAGTACCTCGACCGAGTCAATGACTGAGCCGATTTTAATAATATTGCTCAAAATGATGTCGATTTAAGCTCAATGCAGATAATGCAGATAACTTATCTACATTTACTGCAGAAAAAACAAACCCTTCATTTTAATATAATATGGGTGCCATTTTTCTATTTACATAGCACTTTGAGCCAACAAAAATGATTCGTCATTAGCCCAAAGGCCATGCCCATGCGCAAAGGACACGTTCACAATTAATGTGATTCTGGTATGGGAAAAAAAATTAAATAGATAAAATATAACTAAGTGGATTAGAATTATTTTATATCGGTATAAGTTCTCCTCACAATCTTATTCATTGATCTATTTATATCTAATTATTCTTATTTATTAAATATTTGAGTCGTTATATGCAAACAAATCAATGATTCTTATCTTACCCCTAATAAAATTGGTTTGATTTAAATTTCAATTTTTTTTGTCAAACTATTAAAACTAAACCTATTAAACTAAGATTAGTTGTCGGGTTAAAATAAAGGGGAATGATATTGTAACAATCAAGTAGTGTTACAACCAATTAATTTCACCGTTAGATCGATTATGTTGATCCAACGATTATATTTATTTCCATCTTTGTATGATTATGACTTCCCATATTTAACTACTTTATATTTATTTCCATCTTTGTATGGTTATAATTTTTCATATTTAATGTTTTCACTTTAAATATGGGGAGTCATAATCATATGAAGATGGAAATAAATATAATCGTTGGATCAACATAATCGATCTCACGGTGAAATTGATTGATAATAACACTACTTCTTTGTTACAATATTCTGTCTCTAAAATAAAATGCCATATTTTTTCTTAAGTTTTCTTATCTTTATTCATTTTCTTCTTTTTTATCTAAAAATTTAAAGGCTTTAATATTTCTATAGTGAGTTCAGATAAGTTATTTGCATTCACTTTCAAAACGACATCGTTTTAGATTGAAAGATTAAAAAATTATAATGATAAAGACTGTTATAACATTGGAATAAATTATAATTATAACAATACTTTAATTTTTGTCTCAAAACAATATTATTTTGGATTCAATTCAGATAATTTATCTGTACTTACTACCAAAAAAAAACTAACCCAAATTAATATACTTGCGACTTTATGCCACCCACTTTGTTGACAAAAGTATCGGATTCTTTGGATATATACATATGTATGTATTATAATGTATATATAGATAAGAATATATTGATTCATAAAGTCAACATCGCTACTAGAATTTGATAACCTCATAACAAAGAAATTTAAAAAAACTGAAAAATACTAATGTTGTGGTTGAGACACGAGTGCATATGACTATATCTAAACTTGACATGAAAAAATTTAGGATGCTCAAACCCAGATTTTATTATTTATGCATTAATACTCCATTGTGTAGCATTATAATTTTTTCTTTGTCGGTAATATTACTATTATTAAAGATTGAAAAAGAAATATTAGGAATAGTACAAATCAAATACTTTTTTCACTTTTTAGTCCATCTATCGATTGTCACACTAATACCTTATTGTTCGTTAATGCAACGTACTCTTACTCCAATCCGTTGTCATAAAATTCTTCATAAAACGCGTTTTATAAGTTCTTGATTCTTCGGCAACATATATTCTTATTGCTCCTGAAATTTAAATTTACGGTATGTTTAAATGGAGGAGTTTGGACACAACTACACTGCTGTCCATTTTCGACCGTAACACACGATGAAGCATCCACACAAACACCTTCAACCAAATAAAAAAAAGACGAGGTTCCCACACCTCGGACCATACAACAAATATTGAGTTTGAGTCGATCATCTCGTGCTTAACGTTATGCATAGCAATGTTATTTCTATCCATATGGTGTAACTTTGTTTGGTTTTAATAAATTTAGTGCAACTTTAAATAAAGTGTTATAGAAAGTTTTCAATGGCACCCTCGATATTGTAATAAAGTTACGAGCATTAAACATGACTTATTTATAAAGGGAGGATTATATTTACCATAAATTAAGTTTATTATTTCTTTTATTATCATTAGATGGTGGCCAATAATAGCAGATCCAGGATATTTTATGATTTCGGGGGACGAAAATTAAAAATTAAAATTACAACTGTTATCAAAACTAATAGATGGGGCTAACTATTAAACTAATAATTTATTATTATTATTATTATTATTGTTATTATTATTATTATATATAAGGTAGGTTATAATTTTAACCTCTTTTCCTTACTATCGCTTTTATGGTTGTTCAATAAAAATCAAATCGGTAATTACAAAATGATAATTGTTGATTTAATTTTGATCCAACAATCATAAAAGTGGTTGTAAGAGGTTGAAAGTATAATTTCTTCATATAATAATAATAATAATAATAATAATAGTAGTAGTAATAGTAGTTTAGGGAGGGACAACCGCCGACCCACACTTCTCTTGGATTTGAAGGATCGCACCGTTAAATTATAATTTTAGAAATTAAATAGTAATTAAGTGAGGATTGTTAAATGGAAGATTTTATTATTTTAATTAATTTAATTTAAAGAACTTTTTGAGAAAAAAAAATATTGAAGGTTTCACGGTAAAAATGCAGTAGGCAAAATTGTCCGAAACTTAAAGATAATTAAAAATATTGAGGGTTTCGCGGTAAAAGCTCATTTCTAACACTTCTACGTAGGAAGATCTCTTAGATCCTAGCACACCCTTCTTCTTCTTCCTCTCCAAGCAAGCTTGCATCTTTTTTCATGAAAATCACCCAAGACCTCACATTTAATTAATCATATTCTTCCCATTTGATCATCACAAACACTTGAGAGCAAGCCTTGTAAGGGAGAAAAATCCTTTCTTGGAACACCATAGCTGCTGCCTTGGAAGGTTTAAAGGTTGTCCTTCTTTGTTGAGTGGGTTGGAGTCACTTACACCATTATTGGACCAACAAGTAATCACCTTTGAGAAGAAAGAACCCTCCTTAGTCAAGTCATTTTCGTGTGCTTGGTTGGACAAAAGTGAAGAATGTTTCAAGAACATCAAAGACCCTTCCTTTTTATGTTTCGAAGCTCATGGGTATATACCTCAACACTTTCTTTTGTGTTCTTATGAAACTCACATGATTTAGAGATGTAAAATTAGAGGATTTGGTAATCTATGTGTTCATTAATGAAAAATATGCATAAAAATGGTAGCTTGAACCTCTGTTAACCTTAAAAATGGAACCTTATTGGTTTGGTTAATGAAAATTGTATTTTCTGGTCAAAATCTGAGTTCTGATGATGTTTTACCCAAGTACACCTCGAACTCTACTCGGGTATGTCCTACCCGAGTAGGCGAGTAGGTCCTACCCGAGTACATGAACCAGTAGCTAACATAGTTTAGTAAAATTGCGATATCTCGAGATATAGAGCTTCGAATTGAGTGTGGTTTAGACCTATGTGAAGATAACACATGGGGATAAAACCTTGTAAATTTTTTGATCCATTGGACAAGTGGATTGATCGCAGTTTGGGTTTGAAGCTACTGCCTTGCAATAGGAAATTCAGTTTGCATCAGTCACTTTGCGAAAAACATAACTAGAGTTATACAACTCAAAATGAGACACATAATATGTCGTTGGAAAGATTGTGATATCTAGTTTAACATCGTAAAATCTTAGAACCTTTGGTAAAGAGATGCAGCACTGGTTTTAAAAATGGTAAATGTGGTTTAATTCCAAACCGGGCAATGGAGCCCATTTCTTTGAATTGTTCTTCAATGGAAGGACTCGTGAACACTTGTTAATGATTTAGAACCTTAAAGAAATCAATGTTTACCTTGTAAAAATTGGATTAACTCATAATTTAAGTAGCCCACACTTATGGCTTTGGAAGAAGCCTTAAGCATAAGAAACGAAAAAGAAATAAAGTACCTTTAGACATGATGTGTTAATATATATTTATTGATGGCACGTACAATGTGAAAATAGGTTGTGATATTGTTGGATACCGCATTGGTGACCTCTCGGGCACCGAGTTATTATTAGAGGACTTGGCTATGACAGGTAAGTTTCTGGTCATCGAATTAGTCTGTTGCTTGTTCCACCAAACTCCATGGGAGGTTGGTTTATGTGTATGATATGCTTTTCTGAAAATGTTTTATGCACTAATATTTATCTGGTATATTTGGAACTATTTTCTGGTATGATGTGTTGATGTATAGATGTGATGTAGTTTATCTACATGATCAGACAGTGATCCTGAATGTAAGGCATAAGGTAGTGACCCTTATGTTTTGGTAGGAAGCAGACATGCGTAATGTCTATCTTGTTCTCTGGCCAGTTGAACCGCACTTGCATACATAACATGATATATACTGAGATATATGATTATATGAGGATCAGATTATTTTACCATGATGATACTGCATTGTTATTGCCACGCATTATATTATTTTGTCGCATTTATTATATACATGTAAGTAAGCTTGGGGCGGAAGAGTCCTTGAGGACCCCTTGTCTTACTGAATTTTTTTTTAGAGATCTCACCCATTCTGGGGCACATTTTTCAGATACTGTGATTGTTAATGTTGATGCATCTAATGGCAAGAGGTGGACATTGAGATTATAGCATGACATGAGACATGCATAGCTATGATATATATATATATATATATATATATATATATATATATATATATATATATATATATATATATTCCTATGAGGCATGATTGCCATTTGACATGTTATGTTATGTTTGTATTTGTGAAGAGCATAGAGGTTGTCTATGCCTTCTTGATCAAACATGTTATTTTGATTACAAAACATGTATAAGTTATGTTATTGAGTATTTATAGTTGGTCATATGATGTAATGATATGATTAATCATGTTAGTTATTATTGTGTAATATGATTTGTATGTGAGATGACCTAAGTAATAGGTGATAGTTTATTAGTTAACAATTAGCTAGTTGGTCAAGGATGATGACTTGGGTAAAATAGCATGCATAAATAGAATTATATCAGCTAAATGACTCATTAGTTGATTATTTTGTCGAACAGAGTTTCTAAAACTGGATTGGAGTGGTTTAATCACAAAGTTGTCCAGCTAGGCGTTCTAGTTTATCCTCCAAAGTTGGTATGTATTAGGGATGTTCGCAGTTTGGATTGGATCGATTTTGGAAGAAAAAATCATTTGATCCAATCCCTTCGATTTGATCATGTAATCATCTATTCGATTTGAATTTTTTTCCAAATCTGATCCAATCCAATTTTATTCGGTTTGGATTGGATCAGTTTTTGATTTTTTGAAAAGCCTAAAATTTGTATGATAATTATTGTGCAAATAACATATATTTTGTATGTATGGGCTTTGTAAAGTTATTGTGTAATCTAGAAGCATCAATAAAAGATAATCTAATTTTCAATATAGTACACAAAAAGTTGAATTACCATCTTTTACCTCTAAGAAAAAATTTACAATGTGGTTGCGTGAGATACGAAGTAACCCAAATTTTCATCCTATAGAGGAGCTGTTGTACAATAATAACCCATGCAATAAAAATACATGATGTATGTTACCCAAAAAAAAGCATAACCTAGATCAAGTTCAACCCACTTTCTCCAACATGATGGGTTAATAGGGTCTTGGATTAGAATTTTGCTATACTAGTGTATTACCCGTACGTTGCACGGAGGAAAAAAATCGATTTGTTTGTCTCGTAAAAACTAACGCAACACATGCAAGTATATTGTTGCATTTTACATTGTCATGTGGTCATTCAAAAATTACAAAGTTTAACTTAGCTTCTTTCAGTATTTCTCGGACATGATAAGAACATGTAACATCATTTCTCTATGATATATCTGTAATAGAGTCAATCATAATAAACATAATAACGTAACATGTGAACAAACAATATTTAAATGATGTGCTTGACATGAAGGTAATAAGAAAGATGTCGAACCTATATTTGTGATCCTTCATCCTCTTAGAAATCAATGATTAATAATCTATGAACGAAAGTATGAAAAAAAACATGAATATGTGAGGACAAATAAAAAGTGTTATAACAATACATTAAAATATCGATGACCATGAAATACTGTTTGTTCAAAAATAGCATTTAACAATATACCATGTGTGTATGAAATACAATTCCTGCATGACAAAAAAAAAAATTAGCAGTTAAAAAACCAAACGTCAAACCAAACGGCAACGAAGATAAGTAAAAAACCAATATTCCTCAAATTACGCAACGTTCATTAAAACTGAGATGTAACTAATTCCAACGTTGAGTAAACAGTAGCTTCGATGCAGCGTGTTGATGACAGATGATGACCAATACACCGTCGTTCCAAATTCAAATTCAAATTTATAAAATTACAATGTAGAAAGAAAACAAAGAAACAGAAAGAAATAACGTGTTAAGATTTGCTGACATATAAATTTGCTTAGAAGTAGAAGTTTGTAATCGATATTTCCAAAACAATATGGTATCGGTTGTTTGGATGTGTTTTTTGAAATATTCAATGAGTCATAATTAAATTTTTCGTTAGCCAATCTTTGTTTGAGTAAAATTAAACTTTTAAAATACGAACCAAAACATAAGCAAAGATTGGATGAATAAATTGATCATTATCATTTAGTGTACAACATATAACACCACAATTATCGCTTTTAATATTTATGAACGTTGTTTTTGATACTGGAAGTTATAATTGATTTTTCAGCTGCAGGAGGAATATCGTTTATTTTCGCTAGAAGTTCTTAATCAAGGTTAAAAAAATAGTAGGAGAGTGCCACACATCAACATATCAGGAATCCATTGCAAAAAACAGCTTTCATGGGGTAGTCCATTGCAAATAACTTCGGTTATGAATATACCATATTAGTTGTCACTTAAACAAAAGACATTGTAAATAAAAGTTATAATAACAACAACAATCCTTTAAATATTTCGTCTCCAAGACACAAAAAATCATCCTCAAGACATAGTAGCCAAATCTATGGGGTAGTCTCATCTGCTTCTACATCAAATCTATTTAAAAAAAGAAAGAAAAAAACAGTGATGAGCATCTCAAATCTGCGCAAGCAAATTAAATGGTTTAAACAATATAGTAAGATTAAAAAAAAATTTGATGGCAATTTAAAGAAAAATTAAATATAAATCAGAAAATACGTAACTCTTTTTCAAGCTTTATTTTTTTCGCAGTTCGAACAGCTGAAAAATTAAAATCCTCAGCAATGGAATTATGAGAATTAATCACCGGTGTCAACACAGTCAGAGAAACATCACCAACGTCAGCACTATCACAGGTTTGACTCTCAACATCCTATAGTTTTGTAAAAAAAAAAAGTAGGTGAAGATGTTATGAATTTTTTTTGTTAATAGCATAAATTTTAATTCAAATAATGGGTTACCACAGTCTTTTCGTGTTCCGACGATACAATTTCATTTTCGTGAGCATTATCGAAATTCGCTTCCTCCTGTGATATAAAACAACGAACAATAGTCAAGTAAAAATGAATAAGAAATTCAGATATCCAACAGAAATAAATATGCAGCCTACATTTGGATCGATCAGAGACTTAATGAACATTAAGATTATTTCTTCACTGATACAAATTTTGGAAACTTGATACTTTGGCTCACAGTATGAGTTTAGATCATTTTGCTTCACATTTATCTTAAACAACATTGACTTCTCATTCAAACATTTAGTTCTTCTGGAAATTGATCCAAATCCGCACCCTTTAAAAAATAAATAACAAAAGTGTAAAAAAGAAGAAATAAACATAATACAAAACGTTATCAAAATCCAGCGCTAACAATGTTAATTAAGCGACAAAAAAAAATGTTAAGCATTTCATAGGATTGATAATACACACCCTCTTAAAATGTCGCTCGCGCAATTCACCAGCAGATATTCCCAACAAAGTAACACAATATCGATCAAACAGAAGAAATGATGCAGAATTAGTGTTATCCACAACTCTGACCTGAACACTAAATCTATAGTTTGGCGAAATTGTATATCAGCAACAAACATCAATGTTATGGACTAAAGAAAAATTATAGACCAAGAACAACATATTACCTTGGATAATAATCATCCCAATGTTTTTGGCAATTCTTACAGTACCACTTTTCAAAATCCTCACAAACAGAAAATGGACATTTGTTGCAAGACTTGTACCAACAGTTGTATTTGCTCTCAATAGATTTTATAGTCCCATACGTGATGCATGTCGTAACCTTAAATACAGTCATCGCACGTAAAAACTAAACAGAACAATACAAACTTGATATAATGCAAGAAAAGAAATTAACAGACTTAAAATATTTACCTCACCACAAAGCTTAACATCACTGATAGACTTCTTTTCAGTCTCCTTAAGAAAATCATTTTCGAAAGAATATGAGGACTGAGTAGACAACTGAGTCAACCTTATACTACTTTCCACACCATTAGTTGAAAGACTATAAAGCAAAAATTATTAACACTATAAGTGAATAACCAAATAAACACTATAAGCAAAATTATGTCTGAGAAGAAATATCTCACCATTTTTTGAACTCAACAATCTCTGGCACCTTTGAATCCATGACAATCTTTGTTGTGTATTTTGTATTGGTTAAACCGACCTTACCTATTGAATAGAAAAATTCGAATAAAATCAGAATACAGACGCCACAATGAAAACAAAAACGATTACGACGTTATGAGTATAACCAATAAAAATAGAAAAAAACATACCCGTAAAACATTTGATCCTTCCCAGCTGAACTATTAAGACATTATGAGGAGTGTCGCTGTTTACCAAAAAAGATTGCACCTCATCCACATAATGCTCCCACAAAGTGCATTCCAGCTTGTGATCCCTACATATGAGTTGCAGCGAGAACATCGTTACACACGAAACATATAAGGTAAAAGAGCGGCAATTTTTTTTTTATTTTCTATCTAACTCTAACATTTCAAATACCTCAAGTTGTCAAGCTCTAGCACAACCATTTTCGTTTTCCTACCAGAAACTACACGATCACAAACTCCCCCAATTCCTGAGATTAAACCAATGACGTCTACAAAACAAAGAGGGATTCGAATCAGTACGTCAACAAAAATGCAATAATTAAAAAAGAACAACATAATAAAAAAATGAACAACAGTACGAAAAATATATTACCCACTAAATAAAGAGAGTCAGATGATTCTTTCTCAATGGTGTCATAATCAACAAAATCAAATTCACTCCAAGAAAGATTATAATCAACAATCGATTTAACATCAGCCCTCAAGTTGAAGGACAAACGATACTGATGCATGGTTGGCCTGAACACATCGCTATTGAATCCAACTCCAAATTTTTTTTATAAAATAGCACTCTTCTTCATGGATTTTCTTCCGCACCGACAAAGAACCTTTGACAGTGGCGTGGATCCTGCCACCCTACAAAAGAACGCAGCCAACTCAAATCAATAACGTTAATTTAAATGATCAGCACAAAGATGGAAGATTTAAAAAATGCAGACAACTACTCGTTCATCCAATAAAACCATTTCAACATTGTCGTTGAAATCTCTACGGTGAAAGTTAGGAACTTTCCAAGCCCGAACCACCTTCACCTTAATCCTCCAGTCCTCCTTGGCATGATTGACATCCTTTAGAAAATCATATTTTGAAAACATATTTTCGGTAAGACGAAAAAAGAGAGAACGAAGAAGCTATTTCCTTGAGGCTGTATGTTTTAATAGCTGATATGTGGCAGCAGCAAAAAAAGGAAAAATGAACAGAAGCAAGAAAATCGCCCCCAAGCGTTCGCATAGAATACATAGAAGCAGATGTATTTTTTAAATTCTTTAACAAATCCAATGCAAAAAGTAGCTCAACATTAAATGAGTTGTCTGCCATCATTTAGAATTCAATAATCAAATTTAAATTTTCAACTCCAAAATTCAAATTTAAATGAACTGTCTGCCACCTACAATTTATAACAAATCTTGACCATTGATTTGAGTTATGAAATCTTGTCCATCGATTTAAATTCAAAAATAATTTTTGTTTTATAATATTTTTATTCACTGATTTACCAAATAAGGAAAGGTTTTTAAAATTGTGTAGTGTGAACACAAAGGTGAAAGTGAAGGAGGATGCGCCACATCAGCAGACTTGCCAAAGAATGAGTTTGTCTTAGAATATAAGATGATTTTGGGGCTATAATTGGGGAAAGGCCCAAGTAGATAGAGGGTAACGTTAGGGAATCATTTGATCGGTTTTCACCAATTAAACCAAAAATCGATCCAATCCAATTAAATTTTGTGCTTTTTTTTTATTTTCAGTTCTCGGTTAATTCAGTTATCAGTTTTACGGTTCGGTCACCGTAGTTTGAATCGGTTTGGATTGATTGATGAATACCCCTAATATGTATTGTAAAACAGTACACAAGAGGTGAATTGTTTACTAGTCGATTGAACGGTATGAACCGATCACAAATTGGCTAGTTGGACCAATTTTAATTTACTCCTAAAATTTAACAAAAACTCTTTCTGTTGAGAATATTAGACCAGGGAACCGCTAGGTCGATGTTAAGTCTCTAACTAGAGACTCTAAATTATGCCTCTCACACCAGAATTTTATAAAAATTAAGAGTGAATATTAAATTGTAATGGAGAAAAACTGTTGTGATAGATTTTATGTGTTAGTGTTGTTATGTTGACTAGTAACAAATACCTTCACATTTTATGTCACAGAAAAGATTAATCTTACCCAGATGAATAGAGATATCCGCAAAAAAAAATTGGGCTAGATAGTTTTTTCTTTTGCAGATTTGACTTGCAAAGTAAAAGCCTAAATTTTGCTGGGACAGCAAGGGAATTAACAAGAAAGTAAAGTAAAGTTTGAACAAGTGGAATATTTAGCAAAAGACAAGGGGAAAAGAGGGAATTAACTGAACAAAACATGGGCAAAAAGGGAACAAAGAAAAGAAGAGAAAAAGAAAGAATCAATTTTTATCCAAATCCTCTATACCCCATTTCTTTGTGCGATTCTGTGAGTGTAAGAGAATAGAACAATAGAGCAAATAATATATTTTTTTTTGAGTAAATATCATTTTTAGTCCTTAGAAAATTTTACGATGCCCTATTTAGTCCCTAGCAATAAAAAAGGCCATTCGTGGTCATTGATTTTTTCAAATTAGACCCACGTTAATCCTTCTATTAGTGGGGCTCCAACGTCGTTACTAACGTTTCTCACGTGGACCATTAAGTAGCTAAGTAAGAATCCAAGTAGGATATAAAACGACGTCGTACCTTACATGGCTATCCTACGTGACTCTTGAGGGGCTGGTCAGCTGGTGCTTGGTGCTTGTGCCTTCCTTCACCTCTTTGGAGCCAAAGTAATCACCTTTAATGCTAGTTCCTTCATCTAAACACTTGTGCATTGTTTGAGTGATCCTTGTGAGGATGGAAAAATGTTCCTTTTGCTGTCTTTGGCCTCTGTGTGTTTGGGTTAAGGGTTGAGTTTGAAGTTTGAGTGTTGTGAGAAATGCTCATGGCATTTTGAGGTCCAAGTGGTGACCTTTGGTGAGAAAGAACCAACCTTGGAGGTGTCATTTCGTGCTCTGTCTATAGTCAGTCTTGGGGAGCTGTTGGCGAGCTCCAAGAGCACTCCTTTCTCTGTTTTAAGCTTTGGGGTTAGTTACCTAACCTTGATCATGAGTTTTAATGGTTTAAAGGTGATGTCTTTGCATGTTAATGGGTTAAACAAGTAACCAAATAGTATATGGACCTAAAACAGATTTAAAATGCATGCTTTGACGTTTTAAAGTGTTAAAAATGGTACCTTGGAGGGATATCTTCGCGAATGCAAAAGCTGCTGTCTGTCGCGAAATATCCGGATATGTGTATCCGGATATTGATATCCGGATATGGGGATCTGGATATCCGGATATTGATATCCGGATATGCCCACGACGAATATTCAGATATTTTGGGATTTCGAAGAACAGTAGCTGCACTGTTCATACAGTAGGCTATTGGGGGTTTGTGGACCCTAGATTGATGAAGTTGAACTTCTGTAATAATTGAACTAAGTCAGAATCAAGTGATTAAGGGTTTGTGGCTTTGTGTGAAGCCTTAAGACGTAAAACGTAAAGTAAAGGCGTTGTCTTTATATTGTATGCTTGTAGAGTATGAGTATTGATATATTATTGGTCCATAACAGATTGTGATTGTGCTGTGTATGGACCTTGAGCTTGGTTGGATTCTTGATTTTGATAGCTAGCTTACAAGGTAAGCTTTCGTGTCCTCGGATTAGTCTGTTGTTTGTTCAACCGACCTCCATGGGAGGGTGGTTTATATACATGGTATGATTTTTTGAAAGATGAAATATGCATTGATATATGCCTGAGATGTATTAAATTAATTGTTGACTACTTGCACAATCAGACAGCGACTCTGGTGTGTAAGACATGTAGTGTATGAAAGTGATGTTGTCAATTACACGATCAGACAGTGACTCTGGTGTGTAAGGCATAAGACTGCGACTCTTATGTTTAGATGGGTCGCAGACGTGCATAATCCCTATCCTGTTCCCTGGCCAGTCGAACCGCATTTACATACATCACATGATTACTGAGTTAAATGTTTAGCTCGTTGAGCAAGAGATTATACTATCATGATATAAATGCCTTAACATGAACATGCATTGAATTTACTACTTTTGAACTTATATTATACTTATAAGTGAGCTTGGGGCGGAAGAGTCCTTGAGGACCCCTGTCTTACTGAGATTTCTTTTTAGAGATCTCACCCCACGTTTGGGGCCCACATTTCAGGTTCAGGTAATGTAGGGGTTGAGACCTCTAGCGGCAGGAGGCCAGAGCTGAGTTAGATGTCTGCTGTTATGATTATATGCTGGATGCTGTTATGTTATCTTTATGATTATGCTGTTATTGTTGAGACTGTTGTTGGGCCTTGTTGCCTTATTTGGTGAGCATGAGGATTGTCCGTGCCACATTGGATTATGTTGTTGATTAGATTTGGGTTGTATAAACTATTAGGGTTGTCTGGCTTACGTGTAGTAGTGTCGTGACTAGAGACTCAGTTAATGATCTTAATTATGTTATGAGGTTATTTCAGTATAGATGTTTGTCTTTTGCATTTACATGCAGGCAATGTTTTGGAAATGAATTAAGTAATTCAACTTGGTAAGAATAATGACGTCATAAATGAAAAGAAAAAGAATATTCCGCAATTTTAATTAAGCGTGGCTCAATACGATGACATGTTAACAAACCGGGTTAACACGGGGTGTTACATTTTATGGTATCCGAGCAATGGTTCAAGGGAAAAGCCTGTATGTATTGCAATAACTAAGATGCTTGGTTGTGTTTGTCTTATGTGTTTGCTCCGTTGAGTGTTATTAGGATGACGCATATATGATCACACTGCATGGGCCTGATCAACTTATGATTTGTGTAACTTGTGCAGAGTCATGGTAATACCCAAGAGAACCCGCGTGACTGTTGAGTGTCAACCCGACCCAATCCTGACTGTATTGGCTGAGATGCAGGAGGCCAGTATATTGGCAAACGTGGCAATGATGGACGCTGCTAGAGAAGCGAACCAGAAGGCCACGGAGGAGGCAAATCGGCTGGCGAACATGACCATGATGAGGGTCATGTTGGAGGAGATGAGGGCGGGTCCATCCGTTGGTCAGTTCCCTCCGCCACCACCTCCACCACCGCCTCCACCTAGTCTTCAGGGCGAGAGCCAGAGCCATGTTGAGGGCACTGGTCAACTCACTGGGGTGATGGAACCCTATGTGGAGCCTGTTGAAGACCGTGATGTGATTGATCGCCGGCTTAATGTTTTCCGCAAGTATAAGCCACCTTCTCGTGTGGGTCTTATGATCCTATTGCTGCGACGAGATGGCTTCAGGCACTGGACAAGATTTTCCGTGTAATGCAGTGTACTGATCCACAGAAGCTGTTGTTCGCCACGTATATGCTGGAGGCCGATGCCCATGAGTGGTGGATGAACACCTCTCATACTTTTGAGATGCAGTGTCATGTTATGACATGGTCATTCTTCGAGGATTGCTTTCTGGGTCGATATTTCCCTTATGATGCGTAGGAGAGGAAGCAGGGGGAATTCGACAGGTTGATGCAGGGCTCGTTGTCTGTTGACGAGTACCTGGCCAAGTTCAATGAGCTGGTTAAGTTCGCTCACTTTCGGATGGAGAGACATACTCTGATCTTCTTGGCTGCCAAGTTCTGCAGGGGACTTAATGTGGATGTTGCTAGTTACCTCACTGGTTGTGCTTC